AGAGGCTAGCGAATCTAGGCCCTTGGGGGGGCGAAGTGGTCAATGGCAGGCCTGGCTTCCACAGCCGTCGTTGACAGTAACCCCTTCTCTGGGGTAGGAACTCGCGGGCCGCGGGATACGGAACTGGGACATGCGGGAAGTTATCTGGTCGCGAAAAAGACCCGGGAACCAGACACTTCCTACATGATGAATTTCCCACAGGACGAATTGTTCCCGAATCACGACAGTGAACGTAAAACGTAGTGGTATTTTGTATCTCATGATATTTTGATGGATCTTGTAATCGGAACCCTTCACTAATTGGCAGATAAGGCAAACAAAAACCTACTTTGTGTAGTCATCTGACTGCAGGATCTTCTTATCCATGCAAAGGCACAGCTGTGGAGGAATGCCAGCATCATCGCACGATCGCCAGTTTGAATGAATATGCCGCAAAAGGGAAGCTCCAGCCACTAAACACGCAGCGATGCATGCTATCCATGACCTGAAGGGGGATACTGACATACATGCTTCTTCTTCCCTGGTCATTTGCTTATCGTTATCTTTTTCCTTTATGGGATTCGCAGTGAAGCTCATGTTGGCGAGGTCCATCAAAGTCATACCAATATCCCTTGTAGTGACCAATCTGAACAAACAGGTAGACATTTTCAGGTAGACAACAGGCAGTTCTACTGTTTGGGAGATTGTTTTGCGTTTGTTAACTATGAACTGATAAGTCACACTTCGAACGGATTGCAAAATGTTATTTTCAGGGCACATTCGGCTCTTTAATTAGGTGTAGGTGCTGCTTGGTGTACTGCCTCTATAAATGAAACTGAAGATGCGAGTTGGGCAGAAAACACTAAGAATGAGAGCCATTTTTTTTTGGCGTGAAGACTACATGCATGAGATCTTGAGAGGCAAAAAGGTACTGCAGATAAAGGCGAGAGAAAAAACGAGCGGGACGATAGTTTAGTAGACGAACAAGAGCCCAGAACATCCCAGGGCTAATCTCCAAAAGGCTGACCGAGATCAGGGCGAAA